GAAAATGAAAATGAAAATGAAATAAAAGATATATACATGAGAAAAAATCTAATCCTGGTATAGTCCCTGATTTACAATTGGTCAGTTAGCATCATTTGAAGTTATGATACCCTCTTTTCGCGAGAATAAGACCTCCCCAGATAATAAGCCCAATCGGGCTTTTGAGCTAAAAATAAGCCCTCCCCTGAAAATATTGCAACAGAGCAGCAGCCATGAGGTGACCACACTCACCCCCTCCTGCACCTCAAAAATAATAAGACCTCCCCGAAAATAAGGCCAAGCACTAATTTGGGGTGTCAAAAGAAAATAAGATCCTGTCTTATTTTCGGAGAATGCATGGTACGTCTCCAAAAGTTACAAGCCGGTTCCAAAGTTCTGATGCGCCACTCACCCACATACCCCCATGGTCACATGCACTCCAGGGGCTTGGCAACTGTCCTGCATTTACAGCATCTCACGATCATGTAACCAGTTTTTTCAACATTTTTGCTGAAAACGGGCTCCATTATAGTTGTAAGTCAAGGACTATGTATGGAGCAAAACAAAACTGAAGGAAGAGTTGGAGTTCTTTAAAAGATGCTTTTCCATAATATTAGAGCTTAACATCAATTGTATTTTAAATCCTCCTGGCACCTTTTAATATGCTCATCCATTGGGATTCTTGCTCTTACCTCAAGTTAATTAAACCAGTAAACAGAATTACCTCATTATCAGGGGAAAACTGCATGAACACTGGAGCCTGGAACAGGTGTGAGAAAACACATTATAAATAAGTGAGCTCACATTTAAATATGTTTAATTCCAAAGCCCCATGCCAGTCTTTTAGTAATAACATTGATTTCCTGGGAATTGAAGTCTTTAAGTAACCTGAACAACATGGTTGCTTATTGCATAGAGTTTTCATCGTATTGTTTTGGGTTTTAGAGCAGTGCATCTTTTGTGGCCAATGACCATAAATATTCCATTTTGGAAGGACTTGGCTAATCACTCTACGCCATTAGCACCCTAATCTTGCTCTGAGTACCACCACTCCCCAGGAACCCCTTGGCACACTCATGTTCCACTCCATGGTGGGTCTGATTGTTGGAAGCAAAGGAAGTAGCAAGAGGCAAGCTTCACCTGGGATGATATGGGAAGAGGATAAGCCTCTGCTAGACAATGAAAGAAAGACTGTCGCAGTCAAGGAAGTTGAGAAGGGAAAGCTAATAGCAATAGCAATTAGACTTATATACGGCTTCATAGTGCGTTAGAGCCCTCTCTAAGCTGTTTACGCAACCTCTTGCTCCCAACAATCCAGGTCCTCATTTAACCCACCTTGGGAGGATGGAAGGCTGAGTCAACCTTGAGCCTGGTGAGATTTGAACTGCCAAATTGCAGGCAGGTAGCGGAAGTAGCCTGCAGTACTGCACTCTAACCACTGCGCCACCATGGCTCATAATGAGAACAAGCCAAAGGAAATTTAAAAAAAAAAATCTAAGCCAGTGTTGTCTGCCTTGGCAACTTTAAGACCTGTGGACTTCCAGAATTCCCCAGACAGCCATGGAGAATTCTGGGATTTGAAGTCTTAAAATTGGCAAGATTGAGAAACACCGATCTAAGCCCTTTATAATACAATCTTTGTTGATCACATTATCTTTGCTATGATCTTGGGAGGTGGGAAATAAACCACTTGGGTAATAAAATTGATGAAAAGGCTGCCATCTTATTTTAGAACGTTGATAAATATTTTAGAACGTTGGTAAATAATTCAGGAGAAATTGCAGCTTATGAAAATCTTTCCATACTCTTATGTAACATCCTTCATCTGGTATCTTCCTTTTAGGAACAGAAGTTTACTGAAAGAAGAGGATCCTGCGATTCTTATAGCAGAAGTTTTAAGAAGGAAATTTGCTTTGAAAGATGAAGATGTAAATATGAAAAAGAACTGACAGTTATGTTCATTTCTTATATTAGTATGCTTCTTAAGGTTTTTCTCTACAGTGGCTGCCTTCCTTGAACATTAAATATCCTTTAGGGGTTAGGCTTCCTGTGTGCTTGTGTGCAAAAGGAACACACTAAGTGAGAGAAACTGACATTTTGCTAGGGTTTTTCCACACAGGCAAACGATTTTTATTTTTTTTTAAAGGTAAAACTTTTCCACATTCTGAACTGAAGCAGTGAATGCGGATTCTTTTAAGGTTGGAATTGCCAGTGGCCAACAGTGATGCTTTTCATTTAAAAAAGAAATTCATTTTATAGTCTTGCTGCAGATCCTGTAGCCCCTGAATACTTAAAACTGTTTTGAATCCCAAGATTTTGTTTTGTAAATGTAGATTTCTGAAAAGTTCTTACTTTCTGCAGCCTCTCTCCACAACCAGCATTCTTTGAACAACTGACGTATAGTTGCCTAAAGATGGAATCAAGCGTTCTAATCTAAGTATTGAACTTAAACTCTGGTTGCTGATGACATACTGTACACTAAAGCTGTGCAACACTAACAGATTTGAACGTAGATGTGAGTCCAGCTGTTAACACTTCCTTAAATCAGAGTTGGAGTTGCTGGCACCTGTGAGAAGCACACCTGTGTGCACTCCAAAGTATCTTTGAATTGAGGCTGCTACCGTCTTGTAATTCAGCTCTGTAAAGCTAAAATTCCTCTTTTTCATTTGTTGAGACAGAACACAACAACCTGCCTGCCTCACTCTTTGCTTTAAGCTGGGGGGGGGGGGAGCAGGTTAAATTAACACACAAGTGGAAGAATAGCACATGGTCAAGTTTCCAGTGGGAGGACAGCAAAATAACCTGTGAATTTGATCAGATACTTTAGTACTGGTGGGGATGGTCAGCCCAATCCCATCTGTTATGCTAGCATTGGAGAATAAAACCCTATTATGAGGATCAGCTTTGCAATGTTTTGGTCCAGGCAGAGCATATTTTTCCCCACATAGGGTTGTGGCACAGCTGCTTTAATGATATTTGCAGTTCATCTTCATTTGCATCTGCAAACATCTCTCTCTAGTGAAGCATCTGTGACCCAAGAACCCTCAAAGCTGCCCCTCCATTTCCCTCCCCCCAAGAATTTGCAAAATAACTCCTTGGACTCTGAGTGTAGCATCAGGCCATGGCATTTTTTAAAAGCAAGGGGAAGGTCTTTTTCTAGGGCTTGTCTGCATGTTTAAAAATATTACCACTAATAAATATTCTTTCAGAACCTCCTGGCAATTTGTAGAAGGGCAAAAGTGTGGAAAAGTTTTTTGCAGTATATTTTAAAAGCCTTTTGAGCACTGGCTGGTCCTTTGTCAGCAGCAATTGTAGCATGATAGTTTGTGATGCTGCCACTGTTATCTAGGAGAACCACGATGGTTTAAATCACTAACTTCAACCCTCAGGGAATTTATAACACTCTCTTTCCCATGGCTCACAAAACAGGTTTCTACTTTTTACCCATTCTTTTCTCGCTGTTGATATTAATATTCTATTGAGTTATTTTAAAGATACTGTAAAGCCAGATGTAGACAACCTGGTACTTTCCAGTCATTTTAGGCTACCATTCCCAATAGCACTTGCCACTAGCCTGAGGGGCATTCAAATCCAAAGCCTCTGGACAGCATCAGATTCTCATTGTGGCAGAACAACTGTGAGTCCTGCTCATACTCATTGAGGGGAGTTCTTTGTAAACTTACAAACTGGTGTTCCAGTCTTAAAACATCGCCTAAAGGGGCACGAGAGAAGTAGACCCATGTTGCTGGATCTTGCTGAAATTGCAGGGGGTCAGGTTCACTAGCTGTGCAGCTTGGCAGGTCTGTTTTTTTTTTTTTAAGACACTTCCCACCCCCGCCCTCCATTTTAAAGCAGCGAGGACTGGTCAGCGATACCAACTTTTAAGCAGTGCTGTGGCTGATGGCTCTAGCTTCAGCCCTTCTTAGCCGACCTTTAAGCTACCTGAATGAAAGCTAGTCGAATCTCATCTCGTGGAACAATTCTAGAGCAGCCGGACGTCTTTCTAGATAGAACACCAGGATTAAGATTGCATTCCTCGGTTTCTTTTATTAGCTCACACACACCGAAGAAAGCATGTTGAACAAAACAGGTTTAGGTATGCGACACACAGCCACAGGCAATATACAAAAAGGGCCCTTTAAGCCAGGTTTGTTTTGTAAGGAGGCACCAAGCTATCACACAGCAATTACGATGTTAGTGTTTAATGACTCTATTGCCTTCTGAATCCTCTGTGAATAGCAAGTCGTAACATGACTTTTCACTACGTTCTGTCAGAGGAGGAAGGCTGCGCCTGCCCAGAGACCCAGGGGGGCTTCTGTCTCCAGCCCAACCCTCCCTAAAGCAGCTCTTCTCATTGAAGGAGCTTCCTACAGGGGTCCTTTTGCCCCACCAGGGCTCCTTTGACAAGGACGGCTTGCTTCCTTCTCCTCCAAGGCGGTGCAAAATCACTCTGTAGCCCTCGGAGTCCTGGGTGAACAGCCGCTGAGTTGAGGCTGGGGCGCTGTTCTCACAGCTAGTGGCATCCATATTCCTTCTACAGAATCCAGTTAGGTTGAAATCCAAATATGCTGCTTCCGGTAGGTTTCCTTCCAATTCAGGATCCATATTTTCAGAGTCGTCCACAAATGTAGGGCTGGCCCAAGATGAAGGGGGTCTGCGCCGTTTCCCCCCATCCATTCTTTGGTTCAGAATTATTTTAAAACTTGGGCATCTCTGAGAAAACAAAGTGGGGCTCTCTTCTTTTTGCCAGCCATCATTTTTCTCTCTCAGAGGGGACTCCGCAGCCAACTGCTGCCGAAGGGGCCCCTTTTCTTCCAAGTGCTGAATGAGATCTGTAGTTAGAAAAGCCCCCCTTTCTGTTACGGCATCTTCCTTCCGAGCAACAAGAGGGGTGCTGGTGTGGATCTGGGCTCGAGCGGGGAGAGGACTGCAAAAGAAAAGACCGGAAACGTCCGTTGCCTTTGCAGGCTGTCTTTGGCAGTCCTGCAGGCTTGATGGTTGAAGGACAGGAGCCCTGGTCTTTTTCCCTCTACGCCATTCAGAGTCTTTTAGATTGACAACGTTGTTGGATGCGGAGGTCGTTAACTGCTTGCTTGGGTCTGTGGTCTTGTCCCCTGCCAAAAACAATGGAATCAGGCTCAGCCAGAGGTCAAATACACAGCCTTTATATAGCCTAGCAGTCTAGGGAAATAGCAGGTACAGCTCTTTGACTTCAAGAGCCAGATACATGACTGGAGGGGGGATATGCTGTCCATCCCAAAATCCTATTCTGGATCCCATGCTCCCATGGATCCTTCAAGAGTCTACCTGAATCTTAAGAGATCGGATGTTCTCCCTGCTAGATAAAGGAGCTGCCCTTAGAGCAGTTGCCCTGTTTGATTTACGATGGTCCTCGCTATCTAAACAGGGGTCTCCAACCTTGGCAACTTTAAGACTTGTGGACTTCAACTCCCAGAAACTGGCTGAGGAATTCTGGGACTTGAAGTCCACAAGTTTTAAAGTTGCCAAGATTGGAGAGTCCTGATCTAAAACTTGTCCAGGAAGATCATTTAATTCAGGAAAAAAGTGTGCCTTAGCCTCTGTGTTTAAAAGAAAAAGTTTTTTGGGGTGGGGTGGGGGGAGTGTTTGTTGTTGCAAAAACCTGACTGGCTAACCAGTGAAACAAATAATAATACAAATAACTGGTCTTGCTGTAACTAGTGCTATGCCTGAACGATCAACGTGTCTTTCTTATTAGGTCTCAATTATTCCCTCTCTTGCTCTTCTATGGCATTGAAAGAAGCAACCAAACCAAGAACTGCTATCTAAAGAAAAAAAAAAGACTTGGGGGGGAAACCCTTCAAATGTTGCTGCTTTGCTCCATTACCTCCTCCTCCTCCCCGCCCTCCCAGTTTTTGAAGTTGTGAAGAAGAAATAGTGGAACAGGAGTCGTTAACACATCCTCCACACCTTTTAGCAGTATTAATGCAGCGGAGAGACAAAAGTTTTTTGGATGACATTTGTGTGTTTTGTATGTCTTTGCAGTGAAGAGTGCAATGGAATAGCAAATAATAAATCCTCTTATACAGAGCTTGGCAAATGTATGTGCATGTTATTTGAACTTACTACTTAACTTACTACTTACTATCTAGCCTTGAAAATGTGCAATGACTGTTGCAACCAAAATATTGGGTGAAAAACCTGACCACTAGATGGCAGTAAAAGGTTTACATGTATTCGTCTTTTTTGCTGCCATCTAGTGGTGGGGCTTTTTGCAACCCTGATATGGTAGTTGAAGAGCTTTCATTTTCACAATGGTTATATCCAAGAAAGTTCATAAGCCTCCCCACCTCTCTCCACTTTTCAAAAGCAGACTGCGGCATTCCTCAATGTGGAGATGGAGGAGTGGAAAGGTTGGGTGGGTGAAGGCCTGCAATGCAGTTTCTCACTTTGTTTAGGGCCATAGGAAACCATTAAGGTAAAAGTAAAGGTTCCCCTGGCACATATATGCTAGTCATTCCTGACTCTAGGGGGGGCGGTGCTCATCTCCATTTCAAAGCCGAAGATCCAGACGTCTCCGTGGTCATGTGGCCAGCATGACTAAATGCCGAAGGCACACGGAACACTGTTACCTTCCCACCAAAGGTGGTCCCTATTTTTCTACTTGCATTTTTACATGCTTTCACACTGCTAGGTTGGCAGAAGCTGGGAAAAGTAATGGGTGCTCACTCTGTAGTGCTAGGGATTCGAACTGCCTACCTTTCTGATCGACAAGCTCAACATCTTAGCCACTGAGCCACCGCATCCCTCAGGAAACTATTACATGGTAGTAAATAGATATGGTTGAAATTTTCAGGAATTAAGGATGAGAATGTAATCTCCTGCCAGGACAAAGACACTGGCAGGGAAACTGTTTCAATTATCACCTTTAAACTCCAAAACGTTGCCCCAAGTCCCACTGGAAATGTAGCCAATAGTATCAACAAAGCTACAACCTGCATCCTCATCTACCTGGTACTTGGAGAACAGACCACGAACCCTTCGTGCCAGTTCATCCTCCATAAAACTGGCAGCTTTCCTAAGTTAAGGTACTGCAGAGGCATTTCTGGCAGGGTCGATGACAATTCGCCAGGTTGTTGCAGCCAACGTGCCATAGGACAACTCGCCACGGGACAAGAGTTACATTAATATCAAAGAGATGGAATAGAATCATTAAAGGATGCAAAAGAAAGGACAGAAGAAAAGATGAATGACAAAAAAAATGTTTATTTTAAAATTATTGAATTGTTAAATCGTCACATGGCGAGTTGGCTGCAGCGAGTTTGCTATGGCAAGTTGTCCTATTCATCTTCTGTCAAGGGAGTCCTTTTCCTTCTTCTATAAATGCCATCCCCATTCCCTCCAGCAATGGGCACCTAACTACCAGAGCAATCCTCATACCTTTTGGGCTGTTAATAAGCCAATCAGGAATAACAAAAGATAAGAAAGGAAATCTGTCTATGTTAGGGTATATGACTGAGTTTTACAATGTAGTTAGATTATATGACTAACGTAATTATAATAGTAAGAGCTTTGGCGTAAAAGTAAAAGAAGAAGTCTGAGGAATTGTGACAAGTAGAAAGTCATGATTTTAACTTTTCTGTGGCCATTGTGTATTTTGGTGGGGGTGGGTGGGGATGCAAAGGATTTTCCAACTCCGACTCGAGGCAACTGGAGAAACAAACCCCCACACGGAACGCTTTACCCCTCCCTCTCTCTTTCTCCCTTCCCATCCTCCAATTGGCTGGTGGTGAACTATCACCTGAGCCCAAAAGCCCGGGGTGAACAGTATTTCACAGTATTTCGCCGAATGGCCCCCAAGGAAGGGTCTGGGACTGAAGAGGCTGGGTCCCATTGGCCAGCGTAAACATCTGGGTGCTTAACAACGGAGGAAAATGGTAGAGGTGAATGGCTGGGGGTGGAACCCTGGGAGCAAAAAAGGGGCAGCAAAGGGTGCGAGGAGTACAGTCCTAGACCCCAAGGGAGAGGCCCCAAATGATAAGACACACACCCACACATCCCTTGCATTAACGGGGAGATTGAACCTGGCTAGGTGGGAGTACTACATTTCCCAGAGACCTATCACTCCCATTTCTGCCTCATCTTAGCAGGAATCCAGAAGTTGCCTGCTGCAGATTAGGGCATTTGTGACAATGTAGGAGCAGCATGTAAAGAAATAGAATTTCTACCAGCTTAAATAGCATCTACTAAATCCTATTTAGTACAAATTATAATGGAGAGTTTACATTGTGCTAAGCCACTGTTCACTGTGACCGTAGTGGCCTTGTGCCAGAATCTGACAGACTAGATGATGGCTTAGCACATCCTGTAACTTCACAATGAAAAGAGAGGCTGGCCATGTTCTCCCAGTCCTCTTTGGGATTATCGGTGTGTAGCCCTCATTACATTTGTACCCAAGCATAAACTTAGTTGAGAAATATTTATTTCAGTTAAGCCTAAAGTATTATTCTTCCAAAGCCTAACTCTGAACAATTTCATATTTTGAAAAGAGCTGCGGTGGCGCAGTGGTTAGAGTGCAATACTGCAGGCTACTTCTGCTGACTGCTGGCTGCCAGCAGTTTGACAGTTCGAATCCCACCAGGCTCAAGGTTGACTCAGACTTCCATCCTTCTGAGGTTGGTAAAATGAGGACCCAGATTGTTGGGGCAATAGGCTGACTGTAAACCGCTTAGAGAGAGTTGTAAAGCACTGTGACGAGGTATGAAAGTCTAAGTGCAATTGCCATTTCTCCCTTCCTTTCCTTGACCCTGGTGTGCAGTGGTTAGAATGCAGTTCTGCAGGCTGACTCTGCTCACTGCCAGCAGTTCATAGGCTTAAAGTTGACTCAACCTTCCATGCTTCCAAGGTGAGTAAAATGAGGACCCAGATTGGTGGGGGGGGGGGATATGCTGACTCTGTAAACTGCTTAAGAGTGGGCTGTAAAGATCGATGAAGCGGTATATAAGTCTAAGTGCTATGGCTATTGCTATATGTGTACGGTCTCCTTCCCCCACCCCCCAACAACATTAAGCAAATGGTGGATTTTTTTACTGGAGGATTACAGAGGGAGAAATCTGTGTTTGGGGATCCCGCATTTTACCCAGCATGGCTACAAACCTACAAGCTGCACTTACACAACATGGTACACTTGATTTGTCTATTGTGGCTTGAACAAAGAACATGAGCCATTTGGTCTGTTGATGTTATAGTACAGTGTGAATAATGAGCCAAACTGGTCATAATTTCTGTGAAGACAATTCTCTTCCCATGTCACAAGTACCTTGCAATTGTCCCACTTGGGGAGGGGGGGGACACACAGATTGTACCTGCTTTCTGAGCAGTGAAGAAAGTAGAAATAGTGGTTTGTTTAGTGCGTGGACGAGGAAATCCAATTACTGCCGCAGGACGGGAGTCCTGGCCCAGGAGAGTGAAGACTGGCTTAGCGGCAACATCCTAGATGGAACAAAAGACAGAATTAAGAGAAACTATCCTCATGCATTTCTTTTAGCTTATTACATATACTAGTTAATCCCAAACCCTAAATCAGGGGTCCCTAAATTTGGCCACTTTAAGGCTTGAGAACTTCAACTCCTAGAATTCTGGGAATTAAAGTCCACAAGTCTTAAAGTGGCCAAGTTTCAAGACCTCTGCCCTAAATGAATAATGATTTACTTACTGTATTTTTCGGAGTATAAGATGCACTGGAGTATAAGACGCACCAAGATTTTGAAGAGGCAAAATTTAACAAAAGGTTTTTGCACTCCGCAGGCCTCCCAAAAGCGGCCCATTTTTTGTGAAAACGGGCCCGTTTTTTGTCAGAAAGAAAGGGCATGCATAGCCTTTAAGAGGCTTATAGAGTGCTCCTGGGGGCTGAGAGGGGCAAAATCGAGCAAAAAACAGCCCGTTTTTCGCTCATTTTTGCCCTTCCCAGCCATCAGGAGCACTCTATAAGCCTCTTAAAGGCTATGCTTGGCCATTTTGGTGAAGAGGGCGGGGTTTCAGGAAGCCAAAAATGCTGTATTCAGAGTAGAAGATGCACCCAGATTTTCAGCCTCTTTTTTGAGGAGAAAATGTGTCTTATACTACGAAAAATACAGTACATAAAACCAATTTGCAACCAGAAACTGCAACCAATAGTCATAGTTCAAGGGTGTCAAATGTGCCGCGTCACATTGCCTTATCACGTTTTCCCCCTTTTGCACAGCTGGGGTAGGCGTGGCCTGTGCATGACGCATTCGGCCCACAGGCCGCCCGTTTGACACCTCTGTCGTTGTGTGGTTTCCTCTATTGACAGAAAACCTTCCTGGCAATCTTATCTTCTTTTTGAAAAACGGCCATCACACTATGACTAACTTGCATTTGCACAACATGATAAGCCAAAGGAACCTTCCTCCCACCATGTTTTTGCAAATGTGTGACCAGTCATTAAAATAACTTGAGGTTTTTTCCACTACATGTAATCCTCGGGTGAGGATCGTAATGGAGCCTGCTCACCACGATGATGGTCATATGATGGCCGTAAAGCAAAGTCAGTCATGTGACTGATCTAATTTCACCACCTTGTTTTTGCAGCATTTGTTAAACAAACCACCACGGTTGTTAAGCAAACTAGTGGTTTGCTATGAGCATCGCTTTGCCAGTTTTCAGCAAAACTGCGATAATTCGTAGTCACATGACCATGGAATGCTGCCAAGAGCTATAAGTGCAGCCCAGCCAATGAATACTTGAAGTGGAGTCATGTGACCACAGCCTCTCTCTCTCTCCCCCCCCCCCAAGACACACACCATCATAACTTCAAATCTGGGTCATAAGCAGTGGTGGGTTTCAAAAAATTTTAGAACCTCTTCTGTAGGTGTGGCCTGCTTTGTGGGAGTGGCTTGCTGGCCATGTGACCGGGTGGGAGTAGCTTGCTGGCCATGTGATCGGGTGGGAGTGGCTTGTGGACTTCAACTCCCAGAATTCCTCCTCCAGTCATGTTGGCTCAGGAACTCTGGCATTGAAGTGTGCAAGTCTTAAAGCTGTCAGGTTACAAGACCCTTGCACCCCTAACTCTTTAGAAAAAAAAAAAACAGGGATGTTCAAACTTGACAGCTTTAAGACTTG